TCCATTTGCGCACCGGGAGCTCACCATATTTGTTCGGCACCGAGGATTCGGGAATTTCACACAGATTCCGGCAATTTCCACCACATGGTTAAGTCTGGGCCATGGCTCTGATACCACTGTTGGGTACCCGTTGAACTCAATAATTATTACAGACCAAATAATAATTTAATAATAACAAATAAATACCTATGGGAAATGAGATTAGGGAGTACAGATATTTCTACGAAAATAAAATAATAAACACAAATAGAAATTACAATAAATTATAATAAATATTCGTGCTAACCCAACTGATTCGACTTGCGAATCAGGGAAGACGACGGTCCTTTCCGGCTCAGTTAGGGGTGAACATAAACCCGCCAAACCCGACCCGCCCGCCCGACCCGAGCCGACCCGCCAGTTACCCGCCAGTTTTTCATATTAAATTTTTTTTGGCAGTTTGGAATTATGGTAACCCGCATGGTATGGGTCGGGTTTCGGGTTTGACAATTAAAACCCGTGACCCGCCCGACCCGCCCGCATCTATCACATAAATTATCATATATTTATATTAAATAACATGTGCTGCCCCTTCTTCCCCTATTCCTCATCTGTTTCGAACTAGACCAGGAATAAAACACAGAGAAACACCAAAGGCCTTTCATTCCCAATCTCTCAAAAATCAAATTCTTGAATTTTTCCTTTGAAATATATAGATATAGAGATATATATATATATATATATATATATATATATATATATATATATATATATATATATATATATATATATATATATATATATATATATATATATATATATATATATATATATGCATTTATCAATGCAGTAGAAGCATGCGGGAATTCATGGGAGAAAATTCTTTTCGATTTAAGTGAATATTTGTTTTCCTCTGTTAAAACATTGTAGGGAATGCTCTTTTTTTCTCTCGAAGAATTGCAGCCTGCAAGGGATGTTTTTATGAGATTTCCTTTAATTTTGTCAATGCTATTGTTGGTATTGAATATTTTTTTGACCCGCTAACCCGCCCGCCACCCGCCCGTAACCCGCTACACCCGAACCATGCGGTTTGTGTCTTTAAATAAGCAGTTGCAGTTGGCAAAACTGGTAGCCCGCCAGTGTCGGGTCGGGTTGATTTTTTTACGAAAACCCGCCCAAACCCGCCCGCGTTCACCCCTAGGCTCAGTCCTCAAAGCTGTTCTCGTCCAAGTCCCTGTCCAGGTGCCTCCAGCACTCCAGGAATCGAGCCACACCACCACGAACAGCCACCTTCCGTCAAGACCCGTACTCACCCGAACCCTCACTCAGAAACCCAAATCCCAAAGAACAGATACTCACACAGACTGTATCCGAGAAAAACCCACAACCCGATTCTAGACACACAGCCCAAAGATTCTCAAACACAGCAGAATTTTGGGAAGAAAAGGAAGTAAATAATTGGTTTTTCGTACCTCTCACTTTTTGGGGCCAGAAGAATAAATAGGCCCTCAAACGAGCAATCAAGAAGCGAAGAAATCGCAGAGCAGATCAGATCCGCCATGAAAGACGGACCAGAAGAAAAAAACCACCGAGAGAAGAAGAAGCGGCGGAGAAAGAGAGGAGAGAAATTAGGTTTTGCTGAATGAGAGAGAGAAGAGGGTTTTATATGGTGGAATGTGTGGCTGAGATTAGATTTGATAATCTAACGGTCATAATAAAACCTGTACTCAAAGTGGTGATGGGCTGATTCCTTTTGAGAGTGGGCTGCCATTTGGAAGTGGACTTGGGCTGGTTTTAAGATAACCATCTGGGCTGTAATCATATGAAATCCAATTCAGAATTAACATATATCAAATTAAAGATAGCAGAAAGATAACATATATTCAATTGTGCAGGTTACCCATATAATTTTGTAATTTTAGAAAAGCAGGGCATCTGTGAAACATGCACTCCGAGGCTAAAAACCTAAAAAATCATTAGTGTTCTCTATCTAGATTCTTGATCAAAACAAATCAGGCAGTTTAGACACTAAAACGCTAAAAATTCATACCTCCTAAACCGTAAATCCAAACCTTCTGAAATTTTTAAAACATGTTCATATATAAGTTTATTATATCGTGGTAGGAAACTTATTTATGTAAGAGAAATAATTAATTTAGTGCAGTAACACAACAGAATTTCAAAACATATCCAATGACATATCAGGAAACTTATCTATCAGAATAACATATCCAATGAATTATCTGTTAGAATTTCTAACAATGTTTAAGGGTGGTTATGCTATTACCGATACCACAGGAACCTTAACATAATTTTGACATATTTCAGGAGTGTATGTGTAATTTCCTAATTTTTATTTGAAGACCAAACATCTTTTGACAGAGCATTTTTTTACATTCTATCTATGTGATTTACATTTAAACCGTTCTAATTTTGAAACCTCAATTTTATGATTTAAGTTAATTATATTTTACAATGATTATATTTCAATCAGGTGCATCGCACGGGTTAAATTACTAGTTTACAAGAAACATTGAATTTTGAATATTTTTGAAGTTTGAAATTTGAATTTTTAATTTTGAAATTTTGAAAAATCTCGCAATTATTATATTCACTTATAAGTACCCTCAACCCAATCTTCACCAATTAATTTTCACAACCTTCATTTTATTTAGTTTATTTCTCAAAGTCTTAATCGTTTCAATTTTTCTAAAAATGTCGGTAAAAAGTTCTTCTACTACTCATTTTGACAAAATACAACTCGCACCCGAAGAAATCCAAATAAAATGCATATATTACACAGGAATTCATTTATCCATGTTTTAGTTTCTAAATTATTTATTGTGTACTAATATTATTATTATTTTTTTTGTAGAAATATTACAATTTTGAATTCACAATTGATTATGGTTTATTACTACGACATGTATAAGAGAAGCATCCGATTGAATTCAACCCCCGTCAAATACAAACGCCACAGTGGACCGAAGACACGTTTAAATATATAGATATTGAACTAAGCATGTTTCAATCATTGGACAAGACACGCACAATATGTGTAAAAATGATGCTTCGATTTAAACGTGGATGTTTCTTCAATTATAAACGTGAATTTAGTGTTTTAAATTCTTTTTTTTTTTTGAAGTTAAAGTTAAGCTCAAGTTTTTTCAAGTATCAATTTTTTTTCTTTATTATAATTCTTAGAAAAATTGAAAAATCGGTTTGGATTCGGACCTGAGTGGACCCGCCTCCCCACGGGTTGGTTTTGGGTCCCGTAAAAGTCGGACCCGACCCAACCTGTGGCCATGTCTAAAATAGGCTCATAGGGCTAGACTTAAATGCGTATAAGTCCAGACAAAAAACAGTTTCACAAATAAATTCATCCCCATATTTTTTTGTCTAAAATACCCTTCATAATATAATTTTCATCAGTTTCATCTATTACGTTGTAACCTCATCAATATTCCACATTAACCCCAGATTTGAAAAAGTATATCACATTAACCCCCCATTTTCACAATTTTTTGAAATTTTTTTTTTTCTGAATATTTTTTCCCCGGCTAGTCAGCCACCGTTAACCGCCTGTCTCTGGCGTTGACTTTTTTTTCTTTCTCGCTACATTACTGTGTTAACAAAAAAAATACCGTCTAAGATAGAAATATTGAATGTCAAAACAATAATATTACTGTCTCAAACAGTATTATTGCAAGCCTCTCAGTAATATTAACGGAAAAAAAGTTATTAAAAAAAGTCAACGCCGGAGACCGACGGTCAATGACTGTTAGAAGTCAAAATTGAAGTCAAATTTGGAATAAAGTTCAAAATTGGCTGATTGGTGAAATTGAGCTAAATTGGAGTTGAATTAGGGTTTCAATGAGTTGGGATAATTTTGGTATATATGAACGGGTTTTCCTTATTAGCAACTAAGTTTGAATAAAGTGAATATATTTACATGATAAAAAAGTTGAATATCCCTCTTTTTATTAGGTAAAATTAGCAAGACCCCCCTCACTTAGGAAATGTAGTTAAAGAAAACATCCTCTCAAAAATAATTAGAGAAAACCCCTTTTGTTGTTAGCTTGGATAATTAGTAAAGGTAAACCACCAATTATACCCTTACTCATAACCCTAAATTTTGGCATCTTCCCTTGCGCCGTATTTCGTTCTTTTCCTTTTCTCGATGTGCATTCACTCTACTGTCTTCTCTCCTCCGTCGTTCTTTCCTTTTTTTTTTCTCGATCTGCTTCTTTTCTCACTCTTATCTTCTTCTCTCTCTTCTCTCTCTTCTCTCTCTTCTCTCTCCCTCTTTACAAGATTAGATCAAAGGTTGAGATGTATAATGAGTTGACGGCTAAGGTTACCCACAATTTCTCGATTTTGCGAAGCTTTCTTCTTCGTCACCGCAGGTTATGGATTTTTAATTTGATTTTGCTGTCTTTTTTTTTTATATGGCGGTAGTCATGAAGAAAATTGGGCTGGGGTGACTTTGTTTTGGTGGTTTTGTTTGGGCTGGTGGTGCGGGTTGTAATATTTACTTTATTTGTGATGTGGCGGCGGCGTGGTGATGACGAGGAGCAGATCTAGGTTTTTTTGGTAGATTAGGCGGCGGAGGACGGCGTAGGTAGAGAAATTTGCGCCGGCTAGACCCTTAATCGACTATTTATTTTTTCGGTTGTCGATTAAAAATATTAATCGACTGTTGTGGTAGTCGATGAAGGTTACTTGATTTCATTTTTTTAATTCATTTTTGAATTTTATCGTATTGATTCCTATTTGTATAAATCAATACAATGTATGTATATTATTTGTAATGTAAAAATAGTGTCGGTTTTTTTTTTTACATAGTTGTGTTATTTTTTTTTTTTAGTAGACAGTTTCTTAATCGGCTATGCTTATATCTCATAGTTGATTAATATACCTGATAGAGAAAAAAAAAGTTAAAAAAATTAAGAAAAAAAAATAAATAAAAATAATAAAATAAAATAAAAAAACAGCCGATGAGATGGCAAGAATATAATTGGTGATAGTATTAATCAGGTGGCATTGACATAATTAAAAAAACAGGTGACTGAAATTAGAAATGAATTTTTCTAAAATAATGCAAATTAATTTGAGCCCTCTCCCTATTATGAAAAAAAAAAAAATCAAATAGCACATTTTTATTAAGTTCGCTTGTGGTGGTAATAAACTACGTTCAACTGGCACACCATTTATATATTAATGGTTTGGAATGTTTGAAAAGTACATATCAATATTTCTTGCAAGAAAATACTGAAACAAGTTTTGTCAGACTATATACCATGATTATATCTACGAAAAACACATTTTCCAAAGCCTGAAAGAAGCAGATGCATATACAAAAGTAGAGCATTCAGCAGTAACTTTATCCAGAAATCATAAAGTACAGTACGCTACTTATACTGATTTGGCGGCGGCTGCTCTAATATTATTATTATTATCTCTTTATTCACGCCCAATGCAACGTCTGGCCTTTCAGATACTCCATCATCATCATCTATCTTCCAAAGTAATTAGTATAAATAGAATTGTACCCATGGTGGTCAATTACTACAATTCATTAGTGAAGAACAATGGAAGGAGAAGTTGCAATTTCGTCTAGGCATTTTTTCAAGATCATGATGCCTGGTTTCAAAGATGAATTGGTCAGTACACAGTACTACTTCTATTCATGTTTCCTTTTCTTTCTATGATTTATTTTTCTCCAAATCTTTGAAAATCTTGAGTTTTATTGTTCATAGTTACACAATTATATGGATAATATTTCATCTCAAATTTACACAACATATATATAGCTTACCTGCCAAACCCCCGGGTTTTGATAATGCTCTCAAATCAGCATTTTCTTTTTATTGTAATATGTATGACCGCATGCAAAATCGGAAGATTTATTATTTTTTTCATACATATAATTAATATTCCTCAAAATAATAAAACTAAAAGTATCATACTATATATCTTGCATGCAACTGGGAAGGAGGGTGAAAGAAACTTCTGTGGAATTATATATCTAGTATTAAGATGAGTTGGATTTCTAGTATTATATATCTTGAAGTTGAATGTTTGTCGTAATTAAATATATATTAAGAATATTCCTTAATGAAAGAATATAATGAGATTGTTGTTGTATATGATTTTGGTTGTGAATATACGTACAGATTCTACCACGGTCTGTTTGTAAGAAGCTAAAACAAGTGAATATGATGAAGCTGGTAGCAATCTTGAAAAGTGGTAAAGAGAGTTGGAAGATAGATCAAGTGTGCAGATCAAACAATGAAGATGGTCTGATGTGTCTGAAAGGTGAAGGATGGACTCAATTTGTGGATCACCATAAATTGTCTGTTGCAGATTTTCTAGTGTTTGAATACAACATTAATATTACTACTACTGCACCTCAACTCCACTTGAATCTCTTGCTCTTTCATACCTCCTCTGCCTCTGAAAAGGACTTTCTTCTTCACTCCCATAATAAACACCGTCATCACCACTCCTCCACCAACAACACTACTCCTAGTACTAGTAATCTCTCTCTCTCTCTCTCTCTCTCTCTCTCTCTCTCTCTCTCTCTCTCTCTCTCTCTCTCTCTCTCTCTCTCTCTCTCTCTCTCTCTCTTGCATGCATGCATGAGTATTTGATGACTTTGATATTTGTAGGAGAATCGGACAAGGATTCAGTTGAATCGGACCGGAGACAAAACTCTGAATTTTTCTTGACAATGAAACCTTCTCATGCTTGCAAACATGCACCCAAAGTGGTGAGTTACATTCATTCATGATATACAATCTATCTATCTATCTAATTTTGAACATGTTAATCGACGTGATTAGTTACCTAAATTAATTAATTTATGGTTTGCCTACTTGTGAAAAAATGCAGACAATTCCAGCAGAATTTGTGAGATGGAACAATCTGAGCAAGATATCTCGTATAACACTAAGAGATCCATATGGTATAGCATGGCCGGTGAAACTTGTGTATGAAACAATTGGTAAATTCCCACTCCGAATGGGCACTGGTTGGCCAGATTTTTACGCTGCCAACAACCTCAAGAATGGAGATGTTTGTCGATTTCAACTCAATCCTTGTTTGCTCAAGTCCAAATCTGTTGTATTCGACGTCAAGATTTTTCCTGCAAACCCAAACAACACCAACACTAGTACTGGTAATTAAGCTCTCTCTCTCTGAATCCAAACCATGCATGCATGCACGATGAGTATATGTATTTAACTTTGTTATTTAATTTGTAGGAGATAAATCAGGCAAAGGCAAGGATACTACAGTTGATGCATCATGCCGCAGCCGAAGCTCAGAATTTGTCTTAACAATGAAACCTTCTTATGCTGACAAACATGCACCCCAAGTGGTGAGTGAGTTCATCATATATATATATATATCTATCGGTCTAACTTAAGACATGTTTCTAATTTTGAACATGTTGCATGACACAATATATTAATTAATCGTAACAATTAATTAATGCAGACAATTCCAGCTGAATTTATGAGACCAAACAATCTGAGCGAGAAATCTGATGCAACTCTAAGAGATCCAAATGGAAGAGCATGGCCAGTGAAACTAGTGCTTCAGAAGGTTGGTCAATCATTCCGACTCCGAATGGGCAAAGGTTGGGCTGAGTTTTATGAATCCAACAATCTCAAGAATGGAGATCTCTGTCGTTTTCAACTCAATCGCCCTTCGCTAAAATCCAAAACTGCTGTTTTTGATGTCAAGATTTTTCCCAGCTGATCATCTAATTAACCGGTGTTCTTTTTGAGTTTTGAACTTGCTTAATATTAAGAAACAGTTATTATTCGACTTTTGTAGTTAAGACTTGTTTATTGTATTTCTCTTGGATTCTATCTCTGCCCTGCACTACTTTATATATAAAACTGCTTATTTTGTCAATCTCTAACAGCGTACCTCTTTATTGATCAATATATCCGACTGTTTAATTTGTTAATTTCAAAAGAAAAAAAAACCTTTTTTGGTCTATGAATAAGTTCGATTATCGAAATAGTTTTTGGTGATCAAAGTACACTTAAAATTAACGTTTCAAGATATATTGTGTCCATTACGTTTGAAGAATGTTACTAACATGTTTAAAAAAAATTGTTGCTTTGAACAAGTTTGTAGTATGTGAATCGAAACAAATATTCTAGATCACAGGGCCGGCGTTGACCCAGGGCGAGCTAGGATCAAAATAACAAGTTTGTAGATCAGCTGTTAATTAGATGAAAATAACAACTTTTTTGGTCTATAAATAAACTCTAATAGTGTACCTCTTTATTTTGGATCTTCTCAAAGCGGATCTCCGATTTCCAAGATTTGCCTCTCTAAATTCTTCACCTTGACAATGTCAATAAATTGGTTATTGTCATCAGTATTTCCCATAATCAATTCCAAATTTATTGGTTGCATGCTCTCAAGGGCTATGTATTCATAATAATCATTTTCCCTCCAGACGTCAGACTCATCATCCTTAAGACCCGTAATCGACGTCTAGCTTATGATTCCTAATAAATGTGTTTCGGCCCATACATTTTATCCTTACACTATTTTAATAAGCTCGATACGGGGAGTTCGGCCCAAACTTGCCAAACTGATCTCATCATCTACTCCCTCTAGTCTCTAGTGATCCGAACGAAGTGGTTCACTGGAGACAGTGGCGAGTCCAGGAATGTGATAAAAGGTGGACTTAAATTTTTGGGGTACGGGGGCAGCGCCCTCCCGGAAAAAAATAGGACTTTTTTGTAATTAAAGAAAAGAAAAAGGAAAAGAAAAAGAAAAAAATGGGTTTTTTTGCATAATTTTGAATTTTGGGTGGGACTTTTTTGCATTAATTTCAATTTTGGGTGGACCAGTTAATAAATATTGGATGGGCTTGATAGATATATCATATATATGTATAATATGGGGAACATTTTGTAATTTAAGGGTGGGCTTGAGTACACCCTCATAAAGGGGTGGACTCGCCCCTGACTGGAGACTAAGATTGTGTAATTAATTCAATTGCTACCTGAAAAATCTTTTAACAGATAAAAAAAGAATACAAACAATTTTAAAATAAACATTGCCACTTATAAGTAATTGGATATTTAATTACGAGAATAATGTATTAGTCCGGATCGAACTCTCCATTGCACGTATCCCGACCAACAGCTAACGAAATACCTCGCCGAGCCATCTGTGTACCCCTATCAATATATTGACTGCAAATAAGAATCATTGAATGATTAAGATACGATCAGTGGGTGTACATTTTGGATCGACCCTCTAACTGACAAGAAGATATAGATCACCGAGTGTCCATTTTGGATCGACCCTTTAATTCACGAGAACACATGGATCAACGGGTTTTTATTACCCTTAAACCAAGAAGGTACACAAATTCCCAGATGTCTCTTGTGGAAGAAATCAGTTCGGATCTCATCACGAATTCTCTTATATGAGATCCGAACTGATTTCATTGACGAGCAACTAATTTGCTCGCTATATGTCAATAAACCAAGACTTATCATGGTAAATGATGCAAATTATGCAAGATAAGTTTCCCCTTTCTTATTATAGCTCTTATTATGTTCTTATTGTCTTATGCTAAATAATAAGTTGCTCGAAAATGGCAAACTCAAGATCTCATAAAAAAAATTGGCCAGCGAGCTAATCAGGGTACTTTCGTCAGTGAAGAGATAATCCACAAGAGACACCCGACAATCTGTGTACCTTGGTTGGTTTAAGAGTAATGGAAGCCCGTTGATTCATGTGCTATCGTGAATTAAAGGGTCGATCCAAAATGGACACCCGATGATCTATATCTTTGCGTCAGTTAAAGGGTCGAACCAAAATGGATACCCACTGATCGTATCTTCATCATTCAAAGATACTTATTTGCAGTCAATATATTGATGAGGGTACACAGATGGCTCAGCGAGGTATCCCGTTAGCTCCAAACTAATGTATTACTCGAATTCCTACATTATTCCCACAATTAAATATACAAATTTCTTATAAGTGGCAATGTTTATGTCGAAATTCGTATTATTATTTTTTGACTTGTTAAAAGATTTTTCAGGTAGCAATCAAATTAATCACACAATCTTAGTCTCCAGTGAACCACTTTGTTCGGATCACTAAAGGCTAGGGGAGTAGATGATGGGGGACAATTTGACATTCTATTGGGCTCATGTAAATCTTTGAGATTGGATTTTATTAGTGGGTAATAACCCAACTTTATCATGTTTAATAAGCTCAAAATTAAGTCAAAACCTCAAGAGTAGGTATGACTTATAAATACACCATATTCTCCACCATAAAAGGTGTGTTTTATTTACACACAATACACACTCCTACACACACTAAATTATACGATCAAATCACACTCACATTGTCTTCTCAATATCGTTTTCCTTATCATTTTTTAGTCTTTTTTGAACTATTTTCCCTACTAACTTAAGCATCGGAGGATCTCCCCGGAGCTCAAGCCTCGGGGTTTTCAGGTGAACTGGACTAATTTTTCAGCGATCAAGATCAAAAAAAGTGTTCGAGAAGAGCCAATTTTGGTGGAAGTTAAATCGACCTCCATCAACATTCATGTTGGACGACCATGCTTATATTTTGTATTGTTCCAAATGTTTTTCTCAATTGTATGTACACAGCAGCTCTGTGATACTGCGGCGTCATTTTGTTCCACATTTTTATTATCATATTGACCACTAATTTATTTCACATCTAAATAACAGGCAACAACACCGCGCAATGCACTACTATATATCAGTGTTCTAAATAGCGGTCGTGGCGGTCGATATATCGGCCGATATATCGGTATCGGTTGTAAACCTTTACGATTTTGTTGAGGCGGTTTGGAATATCGGTTTTTTACGGCGAGGCGGTTTGCGGCGATTTTTTGGCGGGTCAAACCGATATATCGGTCAACAAATCGGTTTTTTTTTTTTTTTTTTTTTTTTTTTTTTTTTTTTTTTTTAAATTTAAATTAGGGTAAATTACAAACACCCCCCTGAGGTATGGTCAAATTACAAAAAACCCCCTCTTGTTTGGATAATTACATCTACCCCCTCAACTATGATTTTTTCTTAGACCTCCACCTTTATGGTGCCAAATTCAACATAGTCATGTAGATTCCGTGAAATGTGCTCTAGTTTGTACTCTTTTTGTGTAAAAAATACAGTTTCTGATGCACCACAAACTGATATATACAAGCTAAAAATCACATATTATGGTCATCTTGCTTCATAATGTAGAGCTTGAATGGGATAAAACGGGTAGAAAAGTGATAATATTCCATATAATCTCGAAGATTCCACTAAATTTGATGAGTTGAGGGGGTGGTTGTAATTATCCAAACAAGAGGGGTGTTTTTGTAATTTGGCCATACCTCAGGGGGGTGTTTGTAATTTACCCATTAAATTAAAAAGAAAATATGTTTTGATTTTTTGTTTTTCTCCAATTCTTTCAACTTCCAAAACCAAACCAAGTACTACCACGCAATTTATGGTTTGTTGTGTTTATTTTAATTGTTGATGCGAAAGACTTGTGTAGTATTTGTATTTCGTAAGAATCTTTTATTATATTATGATCTTATTATTTTTAATTTTTTGTTATTTATTGAGTAATTAGAATTATATAATAACATATGAATGATAGGATATAATTATGTTTAAATATTCTTTTTTATATATTTTGAGTATTTACAAATAATATTTAGAAATATATTACACTAAATTTAAAAACCGATATATTTCCGATTTATCTCCGATAAATCACCGTCGCGCCGATTTATCGTGTGGCGGTCCCTAACCGCCACGTACCCGATAACCGTCTTTTAGAACCTTGCTATATATGTTCAAAACAAAATATTAATAAAAAACTATATTTTTTTATTTAAAAAAAATTATTTTCTTTTGACAAAAAAATTCTTATTTCTTATTAAAATTTCCAATTTTTTTTTAAATAATTTTATTTTATTTAGGGTTTTAATTAATTAACTTATTTTTATTTTATACTATTTTCTTTTTAGTTTTAATTGTATATGCCATTGTGATAGAGATATAAAAACCAGAAGGGGCAATTTTGTTATTATTATATCTTATCATAGCACAATAAATTATTAGACCACCCAATGTCCAATTAGTTATCTCCCGATTAACTCGTATGGG